GGGGGGGGGGGGGGAGGAAACGCCCACTCAGGGCAGAGGAGTGAGATATTCCGGATGGACCCCATTGTTTCCTTTCCAGCCCCCCTTTCATTCTCGATGAGGTTATGGAGGCCCAGAGAGGGGCAGCCGCTGGCCCACGGTCACACAGCACACGGAGGGCCCCCGGGTGCTTGCTGCCCTGCCCCCAGGCCTTCTTGGTCATGGGTCAGATATGGTGCTGTGGGTCCCCCGTTAGGTAGATCACTGGCTTTTCTGGGTGCAGGCGTGGGACAGGACTTGGCGTTAACCGCCTAAATAGCCGTGCGAGATCGCCTGTCCCCAGCACTCGGGGTGACGATGGGTGGGGAGAGGCTCCATCTGGTGCCGCCCTACGTGAACACCTGCCCAGGCTCTCCGTCCTTGTGCACGAGGGCAGAGCAGGCTCCAGGCACGGAGGCAGCAGCCGCTAGGACGTAATCGTCCACCTCCTTCCGTTTCCATGGATTTTGCCATCACGGGAGGTGGTGGCAGCTTATGGTGGTGCTGGAAAGTTTCTTTTAAAAAGACATTTACGACTTTGACAATTTTTCATTAATTTAAGGATTAAACGAATTTTCATTAACTTAAGAATGAAAGGATTCTTACGAGGCAGGCCAGTGTGGGTGCTGGGTGGTGCTCTGAAGGTGGGACAAGGGTGGGGCCTGGGTGGGGGATCCGGAGCTGGGTGCATCGTGCTATGGGGAGGATTTGCTGTGTGGCCCAGGTGAGGGTGAGGTGCCTCTCCTCTGGGACCCTCAGGCCCTGGCTGGTAAAATAAAGATATCTTAGCTGGGAGCAGCCACCTCAGATGTCCAAACCCCTCTCCTGGGTGAGGGGAAGGCTCAGACCCCGGGACGGAGCAGGAGAGCAGAGTCCTGACCTGAGGCCTGGACAGTTTCAAGGAGAACGTCTCCATTGGGTGCTAAGTGGGTGCTTAAGGCTGCTTTTACACTTGCGAATCCCCCTTTAATGAGAAGCAGAAGCAGTTAAAAGGCAGCAGTATCCAGTGATAACTGAACTTAATAACGAGTTTTAATTTTCATCGTATCGTTGTTTTTTTTTTTTTTTATGTTTTCACTCTGATGTGTGTGGCAGTGGCTTCTGGTTTTCTCAGTCTGGGTAACGATGTAACTTTGTTTCCTTTGAAAACAAAGGGGTTGGATTTAAACAGTGAGTGGGTTTGAAGGGCAAGGACAAGCAGCTAATCCTAGAGGTGGGGGCAGGAA